ATCTGAGCTGTTAACAGACAAATCATTTGCCTATGACTCATTGTAAATACCAATTACCTACTAAACCATTTGTTATTTTAGATCAGCTGACTGGGACTGTGTTGCATTATGCTGTGTTCACACCAAGTCTATTTGGGTCTAGGCAAAAAATCTAAACTTTTGGTGAAATTGGCCACGCGTCGATGAGTTTCAAGCATCTCTCAAATGAAAAGGCGTCCAACTAGAGGTCTGAACACAGCATTAGATGAATTGTGTCAGTGGCATTAAGTAGTTTCTCATTAATCGCTATATTTTAGTCACCACTATAATGCACTACAAAACTTTATTGTTATGGCAAAATAGGCCCTTTTATTAATGAAGGATATACTCTAACATCACTGGGTTCCTTCAGAAAGCAGCTTTGAGCTTTGATTGCCCAAACACTTCTTCTAACCTGTCTGTCCATTAGTCAGCCCTCTACAGTCTAAGTGCTCTTAAGTGTCCCGGTTTGCCCAGAAGCTACTGCTGACATGACCTCTGACCCTTGCGAGGGTGTGAGACGAGCTAACGCTAACATCCTAGTGTGTGACAGCTGTAGCGGTTAGCATCGGCCTCGTCACATGACACACGGGAGGGAGGGAGGAGGGAGGGAGAGGACAGATGTGGCACTGGCTGCCGGACTGCTGACATGTCAAAGTGTGGAGGGAGAGAGGAACAGATCACACAGGAACAGTCATTAAAATGTGAGAGAGAGGAAAATGGATCTACCGTCTAGTATCGACTTTTTGTACTTTTTAAAATCAAGAAATAGCTCTCTGGGAATCAACGTTAAAGTGCTTATATTATGCTGTTTTCAGATCTGTTCAAATGTTGTTTACTTCACAAACAGACCTGGTGGTGCGCTTTGTTTTATTCACACAAACCTGCATATTTTGCCTGAGTTCTTCTCTCAAACATCTTAAAACACTCACCTCCACCTTGTGATGTCATGTGGTGATACAGGAACTGCTCCAGTGTTTTTAAACTTCAGACACCTTCACTAGAATCATTTGGATAACTTCAGCCTTGGAATTGCCAAGCTCTACTCAACTAAAAATAAAAGGTAGCTGTTAATGTGAAAATTACTACCATATTTTCCATACAATAGGGCGCGCTCTTAAGCCTCCAACCCCATCAAAAAAAGGAGTGCGCGCCCCACAATCCAGAGCACCCTGTACACGAATCCACTCAGGTGTCCCAGCAGGACTTCAGTAAACTACAAAGCCGCACCACCAGCTGCGCACGCAAACACACACGGAGGAGACAGCGACCGCGCGGCGAAAAACACCCACAGACACACTCATCACTCCACGCCGACGAGGAACGGAACGGAGGAACAAACTGAAAAAGCGAGTGCAATGTGCCACTTCTAGACACAACTGAAAAACTGAGTCACTGCGAACACGCCGACAATCCGTTGGTCCCAGACAGCACCTCCCTACACGCCACAACTGAACAAAGCCCAGAGTCACCGTGAACGCGCCAAACAAAGTCCCACTGACCCATCACACTGTTGGGTTTCCTTTCAAGTCCGGTGCGGTTTATTTGTGAAAAAAGTTTGAAAATAGACCATTCAATGACAGTGCGTCTTATAATCCAGAGTGCCCTATAGTGCGGAAAATACGGTACTTCATGACATCACAAGGTGGAACAGAGCATGTTGAGATTTGGAGATGTAGACAGACTAATAATAAAGGATTACTCAAACGTGTGAATGAAACAGAACACAACTGAGGGTGTTTGTTGAGAAAAGAAAATAACATAGATCAGAAAATTGCATAATCTGGGCCCTTTAATGTGATGTTACAGAAATATTTTGGGTGTCCTTCCGTGATCTGTGAGTTGTGCTTGTTGCCCCGAGTTACCAAAAGACAGCGCGTTCTTTCATAATGTCAATCTATAAACAAATGAAGACAGAGCTCAGGATTGGAGACTTGAGGAGGAAGCTTCTAACATGGTTACGACTAACAGTGAAAACACCTCTATCTCTCAAAGCATTAATCTTTGAGTGAAATGACCGTGATATGAAATGTGTTATATTGTAAGTTAAGAGTTTAAGTTTTCAAATCAAGAGTTTGCTTTTGTACATGACAGTTTCAGCTGCTCCGGTCAGCTGATTTAAACAGGTTTTGGCGCTGTCTTCCTACCGGTGAAGGCAGGACGACAGACGACAATGGCACACACAGTCCGACTTCCGCAGGACAGTATCCCATGTGTGTGAGAGTAAAAAAGCCCCTATATAGTCCCATGGGCACGTTTCTGTATTTTGATTGCCTCTTTAATCCAGCGACGATGGAAGAAAACCGCTAGTGAAACAGTTGGGTATAAAAACAAACTCTTGATCTGAAAAAAGAATCTCATAACTAGGGCTCGGTATCAGTAAAAGGTTGCCAATACGATATATACCTTGATACATAGGCCACGATATGATACATATCTTGATACAGTGCAACTTCAGATCAATACGATATATTTCAAATCGATTCGATACGGTTCAATAAACATAATGACTAAATCTTGGCTGTGATACTAAAAGTCTTTGTTTAAACCACTTCTTGTGCAAAGTTCATATGAAACACAAACATTTAATCCTCAAAACAGTGAAAATGTCAAATGCGTCACGTGAACGAGTTTCATTTCCCCCAAAAAGCAACAAAACTGTAGCACTGTAACAAAATAATTGAGTAAAATACACCAAAAAATACTCTTGGCGATATATCGATACAGCTGCCCACGATATCAATACTGTACCATCACATTAAACTAAACGATATATCGATATTTCAATATTTTTGCACACCCCTACTAATAACATCATTGTGTTATATCTTGCATTAACTTTTTGAGTCGCTTTTGACATCCACCATTTATTGAACTATTTGAATTTATAGAACTAATTACTTTGACCATCTGATGAATACAGGAAAGTGCTCCAATATTTGTTTAAACTCCACACACCTTTACGAGAATCATTTGGATAATAGCAGTCTTGGAATTTCCAATTTCGACTGAGGTAAAAGGAGCTGTTAACTTGAAAACTACTGAACATTTTGAGCTTTGGAGATGTAGACAGACTAATAATAAAGATTTACTACATGTTTTTGATGAGGTAACAGTGTTATAACATGATTTAAAGCTCACAGAGTCAATTTTGCGCAATGTAGAATGAAACCAGACTAAGTTACAGGTCAGATCTGTGGAGAGGCGACCTCGCTCACAGTCAGAATGCCTGTTTTTCTCGGTATTTTTGAGCTATAAAACTAAAATGTTGAGCTGTTTAATGTCATACTGTGGAAAGTTGTAAGCAGAGCAATGACATCTCCATAGAAACAAGCAGGTGGCAGACAATATGCCAGAAAAGTTACACAATACACCTTTAAAAGACAAAAAAAAAGTGGATATAAAAACGTGATTGAAAATTGTAAATTAGTTTTGTTCTCACCCACGCACAGTCTTAATTTAAATCTAATGCTGTCTTTTTTTTTTATCTTCTCACTTCCCCAACATCTGCTCAGTCATGTGAACTATCAGCTTTCATAATACACCATAGCTGAGAGGCAGTGCACATCATATGATTTTGCACATACGCCTCTGTTCAGAGTGCTAGTGTCTCCCCCTGCTGGCAAGGGGCAGGAGTGACGGTGATAAAAGGCCTGTTGTGGCTTCACAGATGTCCGCTCCATCAATGCCCTGTTGAATGTGAGGACACAGGCTCCGTTCAGTGTGTGGGGGTGAGAGATGGACAGAGGTGTGGGGAGGGGACAATGGACGCTTTAGTCCCTGAGGAGACGCTCGTGCGAGGGAAGAAAACTACAACTGAAGATGAGAAATATGCCTGTTTTTTATGGGCCAAATTCAAGCATGTTGCACTGAAGTCTGGGCAAAAAAGAATGAATCAGTTTTTAAATGCTTTTCAGTCTCAAAGAAAAATGGCTTTCAATATTGATTACATGAACATAATTATACCACTCACAATGATTTAATATTGGTTGCAATTCACACGTGATAAATTGCCCAGCTCTAATTGAACATAAAACTTGCAGTTATTGAAGAGTTAGATGTCTGAAAAAGACAATCTCATTTTATCTTCTTGCCATAAAATATCTAGTTTTGGTGTTCAGACCTCAACAGAACAAAACATAAGCCAATGATGTTCATTATGTCTTCTTATATACTTTAACTTCTTAGGTTCTTTTTAAAGACAATGCAGTAAAGTGTATTTACCTTGTTGACATGTTTCGGCTGCTAGCTGCAAGCCATCTTCAGAACTGTCACCGGTGTTGGTGGTGACGTGTCGTATATCAGCTGTTGTTACTAGGCGTGGTCAGCCTGCCAGGTCCATCAGGCTGACCACGCCTACAGGAAGTAACAACAGCTGATATACGACACGTCACCACCAACACCGGTGACAGTTCTGAAGATGGCTTGCAGCTAGCAGCCGAAACATGTCAACAAGGTAAATACACTTTACTGCATTGTCTTTAAAAAGAACCTAAGAAGTTAAAGAACAAAACATAACCATTTGTACTGAAATCTTAATAATTTAATATTTAGATTTGTAATTTATGTTTTAACTGTGGATTCTGTTTAAGGTGTGCATTTTAAATATGTGCTTTATTTATTAATGCTCAAAACTGCCTTAAAATGATGCATTCCTACTGTGAGCAGGCTCACCTTTCCACAGATCTGACATGTAATTTGTCTCTGGTGATGCTACTTGTTTCTGTAAAGATTGATAAGTTGATTGTTGTACTGTGAACAATTCAAGTCAAAGCATATCTGACTCCATGAGATGCGAGGGGCACGTACACTCCACCAGAAAAGTGATAGTGCTCCTTTGAAAAATGATCATTTGATTTTGCATACATTATTATTTTGCCCCCAAAAATGGCACAACAGTTTCCTGTTGGATCCCTTTAAAGACTAAACATTTAGGAGATATGTACTGATGGCAGCGTTGCACTGTTGTGTGTCTCCACCAGGAGGAGCAGCAGAAGGAGCCCAGTGGAACCCCGTCCTCCCAGAGCTCCTCCTCTTCAGCTCGAAGGAAGAACCTGGAGTTTGAGCCTCTGTCCACCACAGCGCTCATCCTGGAGGACCGACCCTCGTGAGTGCTGCTCTCACCCTCACAGTCTCTGTAACATTCAAATCTGTGCTATATACTGTAAATATATGCTGCTGTTTGTGGGAAACCATGATAATGCCTATGACATTTTAAAAGACATTTTGTTGGTTGACAACAATTTAATGACAATTGAATCCAATCAAAAACATTGCTGAATCAAAACAATTTGTAAACAACACCCTATGATTATTCCAGAGAGAGTTCATCAGGCATGGCTCAGTATCAGAGAAGGGAACATGTTCTGTGCTCATGGCTGGATACAGGTCCTTGAAAACGAAATTCAATGAAGGCACATGGTCCAAATCATAAGTGACATGGATATTCTTTAGTTTACAGTGTAATGTACATGTAAAGACCTTCAGAACTACACTTCCAACTTTGACTAAGCAAACTAGCACCTCTATGCACCAGAAGGAGACAGTTGTTTCCCTGCATAAACACTAGTCACTTCGTCCTTGTTCTGTGTATTAAACTGCATGTGTTGTGTTTCAGAAACCTGCCAGCCAAGTCCATGGAGGAGACCCAGAGACACAAGCAGGAGTATGAGGAAATGGTGGCAGGAGCCAAGAGGAGAGGTACAGCACTTTGCAGTTATCACAGGGACTGTTACAGTGGTCAAAGCAGACAGATCTTCACTATCAAATACAATTAAATAATCATTTTTGGACAATTAATTTAACATTTTTGTTCTTAAACAAAAAGCAGAGTGCGACTTTTGGATGACACACTGTTTTTATTGGCTGTTACTGTAGTGTTGCTGATGTTTGGTGGCTCTGATCTGACAGAGTAGCTCAGAGTCACACTGACACCACACACAAGGAAGCGCAGCAGCTTCATAATCTCATAAAATGACACAAAGTTCGGTCATGCTTGCGCGAAGTCGGGGAGAAGCGAATCTGAGCCAAAATCAGGCAAATTAAGTTCAAATCAGTTCTAGTTGTACTAAAACAAAGCTCAGATTAAAGTCCAATTCGAGTAACAGAGCTGTGCCTGTGTCTGCAGTTAACTTCACCCCCCAATGAATGTTAATGACATCATGTGATATAGATTTCACTATCATATTTTTTGTTATTCCAGAGCTGAAAGAAGCCCAGAGGAAGAAGCTGCAGATGAAGGAGAGACATCGTCAGGAGGATAGTATCTCCAACGCCATGGTGGTGTGGAACACAGAGATCCTGCCGCACTGGGACTCTATGTAAGAATATACAACACTATATACTGTATATATATGAGCGCTATACCTATACGTGATTTCTTCTAAGTAATAAAGTAGAGTTTGTCTTGCCCCAGTTCAGAGATACTGTATTATAAAAGCAGCTGTTGGAATCAAATGAGGCCACTGTGTGCTGCTTGGATCTAATTATAAATAATTTTTATCATCCATGAACCAGTGTGGGCTAAAAAACTATGAAAACATCCAAAAGGCTTATTTTACCTATAATTTCCTTAATCTAGTTTTGAATTTTCTTTGTTAAATGTTTTATTTTGACTAGTACATTAAGGCATGCACATTTTTGTTTTAATAAGTGTGTGTCAATAAACAACCATATCACATATTGTGCAGCCCTACAAAGTACTTATATCGCACTGATGAATGAGGATGTATTAGAAAAGTGAGGAATAATTTTGGACAAATGCAAACCATTTAACAAAACAGCTTTAGTTTTTAACAGATTTTGGAGAGTAAACATCAGATACAGCGCTTGTATGTATATATACTAGGGATGGGCATTCGATGAAATTTTCTTAATCGATCGTCGGAAGAATTAACGATCGATTATCGATTAATCATTAACGTTTTTATATTAAAATGATCATCATTATTATTACTATCTGCACTACTAATCTGCATAAATAAATTCAACTTTACGACATATAAACCGTAACGACTCTAGAGCCACATCAGCCTGACATTATAACGTGTTTAATTCATTTTTGTGCAACTCTCACAGAAACGAAACTTAAAACCGCATCGCTAATTTGCATAAACTCAGCGAAGATAAAAAATACAGTACTCTTGTGTCGCTGATGTGGTCAACTTCTGTCGGATTAAAAGACATGATTCAGTGGAATACAGGTTAGTGTGACCAGATTTGTGTTTGTCAAAACCAGGACACCGTACGGGGAGGTGGGGACTCGTCATCGACATTGCGCGACTCTCACCTGGTAAAACTTTTTCCCACTGGACACCGAAACATATGTGCTGCTTTGTACACTGTGCACATGGACTCACACTTGTCCCGAACGCAACAGAAAGCGTGGAATTTCTTGTACAAATCATCGTTAAATACACATTTGTGCTTCGGCACGCTGCAGGCTGACCTACTGTTTGTGTTTGCTCGCTCCTTTTGAGTGCAGAGCTACATGTACGGACCCCTGTTTGGTCACGCTACGCACAGCAACCTACATTCGGTTTGTCGATTAAAATTAACGTAATCGATGAAATTCTTAATGATCAATTATCGAATTAATCGATTAATCATGCCCATCACTAATATATACTTTTGTATTTACAGGAAAGGCACCAGGCGTGTGAGGGAGCTGTGGTGGCAGGGCCTTCCTCCCAGTGTGAGGGGCAGAGTGTGGAGCCTGGCCATTGGGAACGAGCTCAACATCACTCCAGGTACACACACTATGTTTCATGTAGTACATGTGATGATGGAGGTGGGACAGAGGGTGAGCAATATTAATAAAATACATATCTTCATATATTTATATATACATGTTATGCATTTTTGTGGCTTTTAATTCACTTTTACATTTTTGATCACCTTGAGATAAGTATTTCACATTTTCTAACTTTAAAGGTGCATTGTGTAACTTTTCTCATGGAGGGTACGTCAAATGGTTGTCTCCATGGAGATGTTATTGCTTTAGCTGGAATGTTTCACAGTTGCCACTTTTACATGAGAGCTTTAATTCCAAATTAAAAAATATTTAATTCAGAATAAAAATGTATTCTGATTTAAAAAGAACATGTAAACACTTAATTCCTAATGACAACGATTATTCAGAATTAAACTTAATTCCGATGTAAGTGAGAGGTTTATTCCAATATTAAAGACGAATCAATTTATTCCTCAATCGGGTAAATATTTATTCTTCTTAAAATAATTGCGGTTGTTCAGCGATTGTTGTGATGTGATCCAGACGATGCGGCTCCACCAGTCCTGGCTTCGGACTTTCATCCACGTCTCTTGGGATTTGCAAGTGGGATGTGGGAGTGGGCTGAGGTAGAACAGCCTCAGACTCAGTTTGTCTTCTTCCTCCCTTCTCCTCCTCAGCTGACAGACGTTAAAGCGTGATGAGAGAATTCTCCAACTGCTGTGGAAAAAAGTTTGGTGGTGTAACATCGAACCGAGATGACAAAAAAGCCGGTAGCAGCTGTAGTGTGCGTTTTCTTCCGGTGGATGTAAATATGTTGGTGTCGCGGTCCGATCAGAACCCTTCTCGACTCCCAGACATTGAGCGTAATTAAATAAAGACAATTTAATGTGTTTCCATGTAAACTTCAATTGGGAAGTATTATTTCCATGTAAATTTGCAGGAGAATATTAGAATTCAGAACAATTTAATTCAGAATAATGAGTTCAGAATTAAAAACATCATGTAAACGTGGCCAGTATGGTATTAAACATTTCTATCTTCATGGAAACCAAACCAGACCAAGTTACAGGTCAGATCTGTGTTTCTAGGTACTTTTGAATGTAAATGTAAGGTAGAGCTGTTTAATGTCATATGGTGGAACATTTCAGGCAGAGCAATGACATATCCATAGAAACAAGCAGGTGACGAACCCCAACCAAAGTTACACAGTGCACCTTTAAATTGCATTCGCCAACAATTTTCCAGGCTCTTGAAAATGTGTTTTTTAAAATCCATTTTGTATTTTTTCTTTAGTTTTCAGATGATCTTAAAACATTTTTTGGCAGTGTTTGTTTGCTAAAGTGTGGATTGGGTCACCATGGTAACTGCTGAGCATTCCTCCATACACATACATACCTTTAACTGTTGCAGAGCTGTATGAGATCTTCCTGTCACGAGCCAAGGAGAAGTGGAGGAGCTACAGCGAGACGAGCTCCGTGAACGACAGTGAGAGCGGTGAGTGTCTGAACAAGTTCTTTTCGATTCATAAAACAATATGAAGCGTTAGTTTAAAATGGCTTCTTTTTGTTTATCTCCAGCAGAGGGAGCATCTTTAGCAGACAGAGAATCCAGTTTAGACCTCATCAAACTTGACATCTCCAGAACATTTCCTTCTCTGTTCATCTTCCAAAAGGTAAAGGACAGATATTTGATTGACACATCTGTTCAGCTCATCGTAAAAGTTCCTAGTATATTAATTACTCGCTGTCTCTCTATGACTCTTTGGTTAATATCCCTCTCCATCTTGTTCCTGCAGGGCGGTCCATACCACGACCTTCTCCACAGTGTGCTGGGAGCCTACACCTGCTACAGACCTGACATTGGCTATGTGAGTTTCATCCCATAGTGAACATAGAAATTAGAATTATATTACATTTTCAGCTCATGTCAAAACACCTGGAGCGCAACAGTAGTGCTTATAACGATGTGGGAATAATATCTAATTGTATTTTTTTTCTGACAAGCATTGCGATTAGATTTGAGAATTTTTTTTTAACAATAGGATTCTGTTCAAATTTCACATTTTAAACATGTACAGAAAAGATTGAGACTGAAATGTGAAAAAACTAATACAAGAATCACATTTCAGAACATGTTTATACAGATCTACACTACTGGATTAGTAGTTTGTATGCAGAATGAGGCAGGAGATTTTGTTATTTGTGAAGAAAATTACAGTATTTAAAAAATTCCAGTCTTTGTAATTTGCTGATTTCTTCCATTCAAATTGCAAAACCCCTCTCAACAGTCAGCAAGCAATTTTGGTCCCAGAAGTAAAATTCTGATACATTTTACAACTACAACTTTACAACTCATAACCTTAAATGGTATAACTCACTTTTCAGATTTTTGACAGTTCATTATGAGCACAATAAAATGACAAAATGTGCCTGTGTACACTGTTAGTATTTAAATGTTTAAGTGTAGGCCCATGTGTGCATTCACCACAATTACCACATCCGTTTACCATTTTTTAAATAAAAAAAAACAAAAAACACGCACGTATGCACACACACACACACACACGATTGATTCTCAAATTTGTGCATGTGTATGTTATTCTCAGGTCCAGGGCATGTCCTTCATCGCTGCAGTTCTCATTCTGAACCTGGAGGAGGCAGACGCGTTCATCACCTTCGCCAACCTGCTCAACAAGCCCTGTCAGATGGCCTTCTTCAGAGTGGACCATGAGCTGGTAACTCCACACGAGCCGTTTATAGTCATCCACTGTTCTCAATTGTCACATTAAATGACACAACATATTGATACTTGGATATTTTTTGCACACCCCTAGGCTGATATCACCCATAGCATTGGGCTTAAGTCAAATGAAGCAGAGTTCCGTTTTAGGAATAGAAATTGATTAACAGACAAAATAGCGCAATAAAAACAACAGGATCATGTAAAGCGGGCCAATACAAACATGTTTGTTTAATATTAAATGAATTGGAGCCGGAAGTGGGCCCATGCTCACTTCCTATAGACACAGATAAAACGTACTTGTAAATGTCTTGGTTGAGATTCTAGTATCACCCATATTACTTTATGCACTGTCTTTAGAAGTAAAAGAAGTTTTCAAATAATGTAATAATATATTTTCAACATTTTCAAATAATGTATTCTTCTAAAGTACATGTACACATACATTTCCATTGAGTATTTGTGTGTTTGTGTGTTGCCAGATGCTGAAGTACTTTGCCGCCTTTGAGGTGTTCTTCGAGGAGAACCTGCCTCGTCTCTTTAACCACTTCCAGAGCAACAACTTGACCCCTGACCTCTATCTCATCGACTGGTACGCTCACACACTCTATAAGGTCCTATATTACACTATATAGTCTCTGATGAGCTTTTAAGACATATTACAATGTTGTTTTGTTTCATTCACTTATGTTTGAGTAACTCTGTTCCATCCTGTGATGTCCATTGCTGAAATGATCCAAATTATTCCAATGAATCATTGCCATTTTCTGTTGAAGAAAAGATAAAGGGAGTTTCTCAATAATATCATGGACCATCACAATATATCATATCTTAAGTCTCTTTGCTTGATTTCATTGTCATGGTGCAGCAACAATCTAAAAGAACTACATAGACCATAATCCTTTGCTCTGTTTCAGTCCAGTTTACACGATGAAATAACGTAAGCACTTTTAAAACTTAATTCTTTGGTTTATGACACAACCAAAGACTTGACAAGGTATTTTTAAAAGGAGAAAGTAGTAGAAAATACAAAATATCAAACTGAATATCGTACTATGAGATGCATTTTTACTTAATTTCAAAATATATTGTCGAGAAAAATACATTGCCTTTTTTTAACACCTGAGCAAGTTTGGTAAGTTTTATATCTTCTTTTGTAACCTCTTGGTAGTATCGACACTATATCAAAATGAACCAGAGAGCGCCAGATTTGAACCACCAACCTCAAATTTGGATTTGGTTACATCCCTAGTGTTGTGTGTCTCTGTGTGTAGGATCTTCACTCTGTACAGCAAGTCCCTCCCCCTGGACGTGGCGTGCCGTGTGTGGGATGTGTTCTGCAGAGATGGCGAGGAGAGCCTGTTCCGGACGGGGCTGGGTATACTGAGGCTCTACCAGGACATCCTGCTGCAGATGGACTTCATTCACATCGCACAGTTCCTCACCAGGCTCCCCGAGGATCTGCACGCTCACACGCTCTTCCACGCCATGGCCAACACGCACATGATCAGTCGGAACCGTCGATGGACACAGGTATGGCCACTGTGTTTGGACACATGCTGTACAAAGCTCAAGACCAACTAGTGGCTGCTCCAGGTACTACAGCCCCTGGGAGCTTGGGCCCAGATAGAATTTTCCACTAGAGCGCAATGCATTTTTTGGGAATTCAAACTGCCCATGTTCTAACTGAATCTTGTGTTTCTCTCCTGGGCCCTATTCAAACCCTCCTTATGGTTAACTGTAAGATTCTGTACAAGGCTCTGCCCACAAGCCTACGTCACCCATGCTCCCACATGACAATTCTCCATAAATACATAAAAACATGAGACAAAACTGTACACAGCGACTTGACAAACATGTTGGAATGTGCAGTAGTTTCATTAGTGGGTGTCATGATGATTGTGTTGTGATAGTGCTGTGAAGGGGGAGCGACTTAACGTGGGGAGTAAAAAGAGGGAATGTTAATATGTTGTTTGCGTCAAATATAGCGTAACATATAAACAATAAATATGTTATGTGTTAGCAGTTAGGGTGACCAGACATCCTCCTTTTCCTAGACAGGTCCTCCTTTTGTGTCCTTTTGGGAAGAACTTCTCAATTATACCAAAATGATCAGTATTTTGACACTTATCTTGGTTTTATCTTAGTTTTGACAACAATCTTTGCTCATCTGATCAGATACCATCATGGATCTACAATAAGATTTTATTATACTTCCATGGATACAGTCACCAGCTCTGTGCTCCTAAGCTCCGTCCCTTCTGTTCTCACTCCCATGTGCTCTCACAGCAAAGAAACAGACCGCTCCTTTGATCAGAAAATGCGTTTATTAAGTGTATTATTGTGAAAGCATATTAGCTTCTGTGGAGAGGTTGATCATGGTGCAGCTTTTGATGTCTCGAACTCTGCCTCACTTTTTATTTGATGAAAATTGATCTCATATTAGCAGAGATATCTTAAATCCCAGCTGAAAAAGTTTGTAGCGTTGAGAAATGAGACGCCCGTAACCATGGCGCGCACACATTACACAGGAATAGTCTGACCCTCAGCAGTAGGGTCTAATGATAAATACAGGATAAAACGTGTTCAGACGTCTTGATAAAGGTTAAAGTAGTGTTCATTCTGCTCTCAATCACAGACTGAAGCCTCTTGTTTGTGAGAAGTGACAGCTGGGCACTGTCAGAGCAGGGACAAGGGACATAGACACTGTCAGGAAAATGGGAGTGTCCTTATGTTCCCTCAGCCTTATGTTCTCTCATTTCTAATTTTTTTTTAATAGAATAGAATAGAAAGCCTTTATTGTCATTGTACAGTAGTATAATAAAATGTGCAAGAATTAATTAAGTAATAAATCATAAGAAGAATTAATGAATTACTAAATAAAACAAATTAACAGTTCTCATTAAGTATGGTGACAGCTTTGGGGAAGAAGCTGTCCCTGAGTCTGTTGGTCCTAGCTGGAATTGACCTGAAGTGCCTGCCAGAAGGCTAATAAATTATTATTATTATTATTATTATTATTTATTAATTAATTTTTCTTTCCAAAATTAGACCCTATGTTCCCATATTTCCTTTATCATCAGTTTGTGTCAGAAATTGTCCCCATTTTTCCCAATTTGGTCGTCATTTACACCCAACCTATTCTCCAGCAGCAGTTGACTACAGATGTAATGTAGAGGTCATGGTGCAAAGGATCTTAGGTTGAAATGACTCTGAATCATCCCTTTAAATGTGGAATAAAAATAAAAATGACTTGAATTACAGTTTCATTTTGAGAAAAATCTTAGAAATGAGGGAACACAGGGCTGAGGGAACACAGAGCCGTGGGAACATAGGGCTGACCCCAGGAAAATAACCCATGAAAAGCTAAATATAGGTCAGATTGGCTTATATTATTGAGCTATGGCTTAGTATAGGGTGACCAAATGTCCGTTTTTCCCCAGACATGTCAGTTTTTTGCATCCTGTCCTGGACGTCCGGGTTTGTTTTTTTAAAAGTGATGTAAATGTCAGGGTTTTCATGATCTTTCATTGGGGCCATTAAATCGATCGTCTCTTGTAGCTCTCTGTGCATCAGAAGGAGCGAGCAGACACAAACATTCGGTCAGTCTGAAACATGACGAAGCACAAATACACATTTAACGATGACTTGGACAAGAAATTCTCCACTTTCCGTCCTGGTTGGGACAAGTGAGAGGCCATGTGCACAGGTTGCGAGGTGAGAGTAACTCAATGTCGAGACCCCACCCCCGGTAAGGTGTCCGGGTTTTCACAAATGGAAATATGGTCACCCTGACTTAGTAGAACTCTAAAATGCAACGAAATATAGTAAATTGTCCCCTGGTGAGGACTCCAGACTAGGGACGGGCATTCGATAAAAATTTCTTAATCGATCGTCGGGAGAATTAACGATCGATTATCGATTAATCATTAACATTTTTTATATTAAAATATCATCATTATTATTACTATCTGCACTACTAATCTGCATAAATAAATTCAACTTTACGACATATAAACCATAACCACTCTAGAGCCACATCAGCCTGTTTGACATTATAATGTATTTAATGCAGCTTTGTGCAACTCTCATAGAAACGAAACTTAAAACCGCATCACTAATTTGCATAAACTAAGGGAAGGGAAAAAAAAAAACTCTTGTGCGCTGATGCAGCACGACTTAGTGGAATACAGGTTAGTGTGACCATATTTGCGTTTGTCAAAACCAGGACACCGTACGGGGGGAGGGAGGTGGGGACTCGTCATCAACATTGCACTACTCTCACTTGGCAAAGCTTTTGAATGTTTTCGGGTGAGCTTTTTCCCACTGGACACAGAAACATATGTTCCTGCTTTGTACACTGTGCACATGGCCTCACACTTGTCCCAACCGCAACGGAAAGCGTGGAATTTCTTGCACAAGTCATCATTAAATACTCATTTGCGCTTTGGTACGTTGCAGACTGACCGACTGTTTGTGTCTCGCTCCTTCTGAGTGCAGAGAGACACATGTCCGGACCTCCGTTTGTCCCCGGACACGGACGTTTGGTCACCCTACACTACGCGCAGCAACCTACATTCGGTTTGTCAATTAAAATGAACGTAATCGATGAAATTCTTAATGATCAATTATCGATTAATCGACTAATCATGCCCATCCCTACTCCAGACCCCCGATACACATAATATCACACATTTGTAATATTAAATTCAAACACCTACAGAAATCACAGGTTGCAAAGTACAAACATTGCCAATGTTTTCACCCCTGAACCCGGTGTCCTCGTTTTTGATAACTCCACTCTGGTCCCCCTGTTAGCAATTAACACCCCATAAAAGTGTAATATCCTCGCTTTAAACAGAGACAACTCTAACTGAATCTTGTGTTTTGTGGTCTTTAGGTGTTCTCCGCGTTAATGAAAGACGGGGGTAAAGAGACGGACAGAAACAGCAGCCCGGCGCTCAGAAGCTAACAGCGGCTAACGTTCCAGAGAAGCTAACGCCGCTAACACTAACGCTAGCTCCGACGCCCCCTCTGACACGTGAACTGAAAGTGGGGCGTCCGGGCTCCGCAGCGGCAGGTGAGGCCTCCTGTCCAAAGCCCCGAGGAGCAGCTCCAAACGGCCGCGGGTTCTGTTGTGGTCGGAGAGCCACGGGCCGCCCTCACGCCGCGTCAGGGCAAACGAACCGCGCGGGACTCCATGTTGTAATGACCTGTATTTGACGTGTTTACATGCACTTGAGAACGGTTGAAAAAAATCTTTTAAAATTTTTGAAATATGTAATTATTTTTTCATTAGTTTTATTTTTTCATTAGTTTTATTTTAATTTTTTTTAAGCAATGTTAAATAGAGTCCAAGAGCACTAACAAATAAGCAGGGACTGAAATATGAACTGCTGAACTAACACAAGGAATCTCACAACCTAAAGCTACACTATGCAACTTTTCTGCTGATATTGCTTTGCCTTGAATATTCCACAGTACGACTTTAAAAGCAAATTAAATGACAGGTCTTTATTACAATTTTTTAAACAACACAGAGCTGCTCAATTATGGAAAAAATCATTATCACGATTATTTTGGTCAATATTGAAATCACGATTATTCAAACAATTCAGCATTTCTCTCTCTCAAAAAAAGCTTTCTTATTGATAATTTATGCAAAACTTTCAAATTGAAAATAAATATAGGCTACAAATATGAACTTTAGAGCTGTTTTGCGATGTATAAAAACATAAAATGAATAAAATATACTTTGAACATGAAATAAAAATAGAAAAACGTAACTTTATCCAAAATAAGTTATATATGCAGCTGTTATACAATCTTTATGTCTAAAAAAATAAAATTAAAATACTTATTTATATAAGAAATAAAATAAAATAAACTTTGTTTAGCTTTAAATCGTTTCAGCTTGATTATATGAGTTTGGCGATACACAAAATCGAAATTGTGATCAAAATTTGTTTAATTGCACAGCCTTACAACAACATGACATTCTTACTGTGAGTGGACTTGCCTCTCCACAGATCTGACTCGTAACTTCATCTGGCAATGTCAATTTAAGATGCATACGTTTAATACCATACTATGAAACATTCAAGGCAAGGCAATAACGTTCCCCTAGAGACGAGCGAAAAAGTTTGAAAAGTTACATAGTGCGGCTTTTGGGATTTTGCTTAACACAAACAAAAATATATGAGTTTAAATTTCTTTTTACTTAATTTCAAAATATAGTGTTGAGAAAAATACACAGACTTTTGTGACACCTAAAACGTTACAAGTTTGCCAAGTTTGATCTCTCTCGTTATAATCTCTGTGTAGTGTCTTGCCCAAGGACGCTACAACAATACAAACAAGAGAGAGCGAGATTTGAACCGCCAACCTCTTCAGGCCTCTAACTGTTCCACTCAAGTGCATGTAAATCTATTGAAATCAAAGCAGAGAGTGCGATCTGCCACAAAAACACATGAACTTCTATAGAAAAAAACCCTTTTGTACAAAGTAGTATTACAAATCCCATAATGAAGTACAACAAAACTGTGACTGCAGCTTGGAATCATTGAACAATAATAATTTTAACTCATTTAAATGCTCTTTTTAACACATTTCAAAATCATGCTGCTGGAATTACAGGAGAATTAGTTTATAACAACTTTTTCTGTCCTGGTTTGCAAACATTTGAACTGAATCTGGAATAGGGCTGGGTACCATTCAATATTTTAAAAGTTTCTGGTTTGCGGTAACATTTTATAACCTGCCATGGTTACAACAGAACATGAAGTCCAGCCCTGTGATGACAACAACGAAAAGCCAAGTTTTTAGGGGATAAGGACTTTGTTTGTGTATTTCCCATTTTTCTTTCCCAATCTAGACATGTTTTAAAGTTAGAAAATATGAAATAGTTATTCCAAAATGATCAAAAGCATGTTTAAAATAGAATAAAAGTCACAAGAATAATAACTACTGTATTTTCAAGACTATAAGTCGCTCCGGAGTATAAAAGTCGCACCAGCCAAAAAATGCTCAAAGAAGAAGAAAAAAACATATATAAGTCGCACTGGACTATAAGTTTGTAAAATCAGAGACCAAGAACACACATTTTATCTTGAAAGGCAAGTTACAGTAATAACAAAAGAACAGAGAACAACAGGCTGAACAGGCGTTAATATGTTAACAATATGAACAGTTATTCAGATAATTATAGCATAAACAATATAACATAAGTTTACCAAACTCACGATCTCATTCCAAATCACTAAATCCACTGAATTCTTCATCCTCGGTGTCACTTCTGCGTGACCTCCAGAAGTAAACCATAGATCTATGAGGTAAACGGAGCGCCGCTTCCTCTTCTGTGTCTGTCGTGAGACTCTGCATCTGTTCCAGTTAGAATTATTCCGGCCTGTCTGAATCCCAACAGGATGGTTTTGGTTGCCATTGAAGTCCAGGCTTTGTCCATCCATCCAGTCACTTCCAGGAAAGTTGCATGGTGCACCCGCCTGGTTACCGTGAAAGCTGTGTTCTCCATCCCTGCTTTCCACTAGTCCCTCACAAGTTTCTCGCTCACTCCAAACTTTCTCTCTGCTACTCTATTACCGTTTTTGGCTGAATATTTCAATATTTGCAGCAAGACAGTGGCTTTTTATACAGGAGACATGTGCAGTAGAGTGAAGTGACAGTGGTACAGGAGTAACAGGAGCAGCAGATACTCACACACAATCCTAGAGCCTCTCACGGCTGTCAGTGTGAACATTTTAATATATAAGTTGCATCGGAGTGTAAGTCACAAGAAACGCCTAAACCATGAAAAAAAGTGCGACTTATAGTCCGAAAAATATCGGTACATCTGACCTCTGTATTCAAACCGTATTCACAACAAACTCATGGCTCTATTAGCTGCCAATGTTACAATAGAACATGATGTCCAGCCCCTGAAGAAAATGACGAAAAGCAAAGTTTTTAGGGGATAAGAACTTTGTTTCTTTATTTTACTATCTTTCTTTCCCATTCTAGATTACTTAAAGTTATAAAATGGGAAATAGTTATCCCAAAATGATCAAAATCATGTTTAAAATGGAATTAAAGTCACAAGAATGCGTCATACATGTTCTTTAGAAATGATTTATTCATTACAAAGTCTTTGCTCATGCTTTATTAAGGCTTACCAAATAATTCAATAAGACAGTTTCTTCTTGGTAAATTATAACCTACAATCTAAAGATACACTCTGTAACTTTTTTGGTGGAGTGTCCGTGTTATTGTTTTTTTTCTAGAATGTTCCTCAGTATGGCATTAAGCATGTTTATTCTAATTAGAGTAGTTTTTATTGCTTAAGAATACGCTGGAAAACATACCTGCTTACTTTGAGCAGAGTCGCCTCTCCGCAGATCTGACCTGTACCTTCACGCAGATAGATAAGTTTAATGCATTTAATCTCCATGGATACAATGAGATGGCATAGGCTCCACCGGAAAAGTTACACAATGCAGCTTTAAATGCATTAGTTTGTGTAACGTAATGGACGCTTATGTTGTGATATCCAAAATTACTCGCAATACTTTCAAAACTGCAGTAGTATTGTAAATATTTTCCACAGTATTTTGAATGGTACCCAGTCTCACTCTGACAGAACGCAATTTCAAAACATCAGTATTTTTGTAGTCCAATTTCCAGAGCACTTTATGGGCAGAAAACAGAGGAGCATGACTTTTACTACTTTTAGAATTAAAAAAAACATAGTAGTTTCTCTATTATAAGGCAATGCATTATGGTTATTTATATTATTAACAATTTAATCAAACTTTAACCTCTTTTTACGACGTACAACTTTCAATGCAACCACCAGAGGGCAGTCTTGTTTTACCTTTGGCAAAGAAATGGTCTCTCATTTCAACTTTACTTTTTGCTTTCTACAATTTTATGGTAATAGAGCTGCTGATTCACTTTACATTGATTCATTCCATAAGTTTTAAAGAGGGGGTGTTACACAAACTCAGCTTTTCTGGAGCTTTCTGCCATGTTATAATGTTTTCCCTCATCAAAAACACGCCTGAAGAGGTTTTAGATGTCATCCATGCATGTTTAAGTAATCTAGCGATCTCTCCCAGGCCTTATTCAAACACTCCGTTCAGTTAGTTGTAAGATTCTGTACAAGGCTCCGCCCACAAGCCTACCTCACCCATGCTCCCACACGACATTTCTCCATAAATATACAAAATCATGATACAAACAGTACACAACTTGACAAACCGCTGATTGTGTTGTGATAGTGCTCTGAAAGGGGAGTGACTTAGCGCGGGGAGCCTCAGAGCATCAAAAACGAAGATGAAATTTCTAAAACAAATACGTGATTTGGGTGAATATAGCATTTCCAAATCAATAAAAGGTAGCATGATGACCTAAATAAGTTATGCGTTCGCAGTTAATAAGTTAATACCCCACAGAAGTGTAATACCCCGTCTTTAAACCGCGTCGTTGCTTAATTTGTGGCAAAATTCAACACAGTTTTATCTGTTGCAATGTTTATATTAGATTTTAGGTTTTATTTTTGATTCATTAACTACTAGTCCAGAAAAACGCAAACTCCACACACTTTGTTCACCAGGACAAGTGTGATATATTTTCTGCAGCATTCCACATTTATTTACTGTTAAAGGTCCTATATTACACCAAACTGATTCTTGTGAGCTTTAAGACATGAGAGAATGTTGTTACCTCCTTAAAAACACACCTGGAGTTGGGTTTTGTTTCATTCACACATGTTTGAGTAATGCTTGGTTGTGCTCTTGTGATGCAGGAAATTGTAGTTTTCAAGTTAACTCCTATTTTATGCCTAATTTTGAACAGAGTGACTCTTAAATACACTACAATAACCTACAATTGTTTAGTTGCGATTGTAGAAAGATTACAGAAAGTCTACATCTGGTGCACCAAGGAGTAAATCAGTTTCAACAAGAATCAAACTATAGATGTCACTTAAAAGTGTGACAGTTCCAGGACTGAAATGATCCAAATGATTCTAGTGAAGGTGTATAAAGTTTAGAAACACAGTGGAGCTTGAACAGAGTGTTTTCTGTTTGAGAGAAGAACTCAGTCTAAATGTGCAGGGTTTGTGTGTTAAACATGTGTGAATGAAACAAAACACAACTCCAGGTCTGTTTGTGATGAGCAAACAACATTAGAATTTAGATTTTTAAAAAAGAATAATATAGGCCCTTTAATGACAAATTACTGAAAATCAAGACAAAACACTAACTTTTTTTTTTTTTTAACTTTTTACTTTAATCTCAACATTTCATTGCAACCTGAAAATGAGTTAAGTATTTTAAGGTCACTACTTAAAGGTTCATTGTGTAACTTTTCTGGTGGAGAATTTGTCTGCGTGTCTCCATGGAGATGTTTTTGCTTTGCCTAGAATGTTCCACACTATGACTTTAAACCTATCTACCTTGCATTTGTTTAATTACAGGTGTTTTATTGCGCAAAAAACAGACATTCTTACCATGAATGGACTCCCTTCTTCACAGATCTGACTTTAACTTGGCCTAGTGGCATCGCCTGTTTGTCACCATGGAAACAAGTTTAATAAAGCAGCCAAAAATGTAAGTAAGAGTAGTTTCAATATAATATTGCTCAAGCAGAAGTACGTAAGTAGTGGTCCAAGAAATTACTCAAAATTTTAGTAAAAAGTATTTGGGAAAAGTTCTACTCAATTGTAGACTCTCAAGATTAAGTTAAAGTAAAAAAAAGTACTATTTCTTCGTAAAGTTACACAAGTAAATGTAACTGAGTACCATCCACGTCTGTATTCTGTGAAACATTCCAGGCAAAGCAATACCATCGCCATAGAAACAAGACCATCCACAAGAAAAGTTACATAGTGCAGCTATAAAACAAGTCCTTTACTCTACAAGAATAATCTCCTTAACCTAATTTGAACTTTTATTATTTCATTATAACAAAGTGCCAAACTCCGCGTTAAGGGCAAACTACTCCGCACACGCCAACACTAGCAACATCTGCACAAACGATTCTCACAAACAAAAGTGCTGCTGATACAGACACGCAAACGATTCTGGAGATTTCAATTTCAGGACTGAATTATTATTATTATTATTAAAGATCCTATATTACGCAAAATGGACTAATGTGAGGTTACCTCCTCAAAAACAGACCTGGAGTTGTGTTTTGTTTCATTCACATGTTTGAGTAGCTCTTTATTTTTTGTCTCCAGTGTACATCTCCAAACTCTAAATGCTCCGCTCCACCTTGTGATGTTATGAAATGATAAAACACAACTCCAGATCAGAAAAGAGCGTAATATGGGCCCTTTAAACCTACTAGAAGCTCTCAATTAGTGCAAAAACCTACAAGGGCCTACTTTTACCATCTTAAATGATCCTTTTATATTATGCACAAATTAAAGCTGTTTTTTATTTGCATTTTAACAACGTGTTTGTGAAATTTCATACCAAAAAAACTACTCTCTTTCAAAGTGCCATGACATTTGAAGTATTTACAGAGGTTTTTACCCGTTGTTGTACTCGCATTGTAAAGCATCGAACACTTATTTGTGTCATGACGGCGTAAACGGCTTTCTACAAGATTTGAAAATTGTAAACGAAATATGTGAATTCTGTTTATGTGAAATGTCTCCTGCAGTATTAACCCAGCCCTTCTGTTGGACCAGTATTTTAGTGCTCTGCTTCTCTGAACTGCAGAGGTGGGTAGAGGAACCAAAAACGTACTCGAGTAAAAGTAAAGTCAATTCAAATAATGTTACTGGTAAACATAAATAAAGACTTTGGATAGGACTAAATAAATAATATAAATCATCATAATATAAATAAATAATATTGGATAAGACTAAATAAATGAACACTATCGGATAGGCCAATAAGGATTTTTTTTTTTTTGAACCAATAGCCAATATTTGCCAGTACCTTTTAAAATTCATAGCGAGGCCCACAAATATGTCTTAAGTGCAATGATCACTTATTGACTCTATGTAAAATAATTTAATACTTGTTACATATTTCTGTACATACAACTCTAAAACACTCTTCTATTTTTACTCCTGGGTCTGTTCAAACAGGGCACTCAGAGAATGGGACAAAAACAACTGGTACTGAATACCAATAATCAGCTGATACCAATATCGACCAATCAGAATCAATAACAGCCGATATTGGAGCCAAAGTATTGCCCATTTTTAAACTTGATTCATGATGAACAAATAGTTTATTAAGAGTGATTCAGGCTTAGTGATACTTCAGTAAGCCCCAAACCCCTTCATTAAGTAGTTACTAAGTCATTATGAATTAAAGCCACACTATGTAACTTCAGATTGTGTTGCCTGCGTCTTTACTGTGAGCAGGACTGTATCTCCACAAACCAAATCCATGTTGTTCCTTTGGCTCTAATATTCCACAGTATGGCATTAAACATGTCGTCTCCAATTAAGACCAATTAATTCATACTTAATTCATGTGTAATTATTATAAAGTGATACCTGTATTACTCAAAAAAAAGTATAAGAAATAGTTCATGTAAGAGTAAAGTATTTGGTAAACTACTACACAGGTTGTAACATCTGATTTATAATTTGAACTGAATGCACTTGAGTAATGAGTACTGTTACACTGTACTAATATAACTTAAGTAAAAGTATAAGTATGAAAACAAATCAGAGAAATACAATTGTATTTGAAAAGTTACTTGAGTAAATGTGACTGAGTACTGCCCACCTCTGTAGGTAAGTGATGCTACATATACATCCGAATGTCTCTATCACTCCTTAAGTGCAATACCTGCTCTGTACTACCCCCGGCCTGTTACCCACAATGCTTTGCTCACTCCAGAATGTGGCCGGCCTCAGTAGGATCCTGTATAATGTACATGGCTCTAGCTTCTCTTCTGTTTATGTCATTGTACAGCTCTTTCATAATGCCTTACAGGTGAATGTATATAGTGTAAAGATTTTGTTTCATATAATGGCCACTAGTTAAATGTGTAAATAAATCTCTTGACAAATGAAGAATTGTGTTGTGTACTGAAGGTCAAGCAGCAGACCCTAAAAGAGCTGAGGAGATCTGACGAGATCAGTTTTTAACCAGCAGGTACGGTCACTGACAGATCACTTGGGCAACCACAAGAATACATCTAATTTGTTCCTGGCTCTCACAGCTCCTTAGGCCCGTCATTTGTGATGTTTTTTGTATATATCTCAGTATATATAGTATGTAAAAGCAGAGCGGAGCCGTGAGGTGCCCCACCTGTGGCTCCTCACTGCAGTGTTCCCATTAGGTCAGTGATGCCAGAGGCCGGAGCTCTTTAGCTCACAAACAGAGGACAGTCGCTCCATTCTGTAAAGGCATATTCAGATAACAGGGGCACCAATCAGGTCAGTACGTGCCTTTTGTGGGAGATTAATGAGATTTTTAATAAAACAAAAAAATGCTGTTCTTATTGTCATGAGCTAATGAGTGTGTGGTGGCTCAGGGCCATGTGGTGGGAAAGTCCTGCAGCAGCGCCCCCTCTGCGCACCTGCATGTGCCCCCCCCCCTCCCCCCTCCTCTGTTTGTGTTCAGAGCCATGAAACAAACGGGGCTTTAATTACCATAAAGTAGAATCTCTCTCGCGCTCTGACACAAAGCGCCGCAGCATAGAGCTCATTGAGATGATCAACAGGGACACTGGTCAATTGGGTCATTGATTTGGATTGTTTGACAGAGCGGGAGCCAAGGCCGCAGGAGCAAGCAAAGTTCAAAAATCCCCCTCAGTTGAATTGAGAAGTTTGTCACAGAATCTGTTGGAAGGGGCTGTCAGGAGCGATTAGAGGCCATGAAAGGCCCTGCACCAAACACTGCCTGTTCCAGCGCTGCACATTTAATGACTATTTGCATGGCTTTGTTCCTGACCCTTCAGCAGGCATGATCTGATTACAAGGGTGAACAGTTAGCACCAGGAATGAGCTCGCACACACAAGTTCAACAACACACACATGCATAAACTCCTGGTCCTGAAGAGCTGCTCAAACATGTGTTTGCACACAGACTATGATAAGAAAGAAGAGCCACGGCTGAACAGGTGCACAGGTGGAAGGATACGCAGAGGCTCTGCGCCCGGACCGTTCCTCCGCCCCGGTGCATTCTGGGAGTTTGGGGAGAGGGGAAGCTCGTTAATTGGGAGGCACAGCGACCTCTGACCCTGCTGATGCAGGGTGACGGGGCAGACGAGGAAAGGCGCTTGTGTGTGGCACCAGTGGTGTTCAGGGTGGAAAAGGGCACAGGGCAAAGGCACTGGCAGAGAGCACGTTTGCCCCACAGACGGACCTCTGCCCCGGGCACTTGTGTCTGCGACTGTGGGCCTTTCTTTCTTTAATACTGCTTATTATTTATCCATAAAGCAATGGGCATAAAAGGACATTCTTTGAATAATGAAGTAAAATAGATGCTGAAGAGAAAAACATTCTGTGCTCAACATGACACAATGTGGCAGATTTTAAATCTGTAAAATGTATTAATGATAGTACAGTGAGAGTATGTAAGGAAAAAGGTTTTCTTGAGACAGAATTGACTTTTTTTGGTTTTGTTTTGCTTTGTTGTCTCAAAAATGTTACAGCCAACATGTCTGAATAGTTTTGTAGCACTCACTCCCTTCATGCTTCGTGTATGCATATGATTTTGTATAATAGTATTTTAGAGCCTAATTTTCCCAAAGTCTGTGTTTGAGAGTCCATAAAGCAGAGCAGCCTCACACTCTTCATTAGTGCAGTGTTTGCATGAGCTCTCCTCGCTCTTTGTTCAAGAGTCTCCACAGAGTCTGGGACAGAGACACGCAGCTCTGCTCTCAAACGCCTCACCCGTCTCACCCACCTCATCCGCCTCCAAACAGGGCATCTCTGTCCAAGTCACCAGAGACTTCACCCTCAGGGTGCCATCCAGCCTTCTACTGAACATACTTCTATAGAGTGACTCTGTCTCGAAAGTTTATGCAGATGTTTTTTACTAAATAGAGATTTACACTATTAAGTCATTCTTAACTTATGTAGAGATCTGCATTTGAAGGATCGTGAAGTAATGTCCCATGCTCCTGTCCACACTCTCCTCCTTTCAGCTCTTTTCCCCCTGGCTCTGGTGCACAGACCAGTTCACCTTGGCGCCGTCACACATGATTACAGTTGAATTAATTAACTGATTTGTCTGAGTACATTCATGTAGAAAAATACAAGTCAGAGAAAAATATTTCCAATCTCTCAAAAATGGAATGGAAAGAAGTGTAAATTTGAGAAAACCAAGTGAAACTTTGTCCAGGAACGGTAGTGTCCTGTCCTTATGAAGCCAAAGTCTCCAGATCATCATCTGCAGAGAACAGGTGCTGTGTTGGCCCCTGCTCCATAAAGACATGAAGAGAGAGCAGACACGGGACCCCTGCTGCAGTCCAACGTGCACTTGAACAGGGTGTGAGGAGGTTTGTCTGTCATTGGAATTCTTTTTTCCGTTTTCAATTGAATTACTGTGAAAATAAGACATTAAAAGTCCCTACACAAAATACTTTACTGTTACATTTGTTATTTGAGCTGTGTTAGTAACTGTGAAGAAAATAACATGCCCCACGTTTCCATGACGATGGGAATAATAATAATAATAACACAAAACACTTGTATGAAGGTTCCTTGAGGTTTTACATCACAAAGCTCCATGAGTCTTCATCAACAGCCCATTTTCCATATGACACAGGCCGACACTGGAATGGCCACAGTTGAAATGATCTGATTTCGCACACGGAGACCGGGGCACTGAAGCAGAACGCATTCTCCTTGTGCTTTCTGTACTCTCTGAACCCTGAAATAATGAGCCCTCCTTGTTCATTAGTGTCTACTCGCTCAATCATAACACATCAGAGATGAGTTTAGCATTCAGGCGCAGGACAATTGACCTTGTGTGTGCCCTTCCTCACCAGCGAGCTGTCACAGGGCTTCATCCAAATTGAGGCAATTAGCTACAAAGTGTCTCTCCCATTAAGCCCAGTGTGTCCACTGTGTGCTAATGACAGCAGCGGGACATGGCCTAATCAGGCCTTTCCCCAAACTTTACATCGCTATAGCTACACACTCGGAGAGCCAAGGCATGGGCCCAGGCCAAAACCCATCTGCTAATGTACAGCACATAAAGAGCGGCGCACTGCTCTCGCTCGGCTTCACATCGCAACAACATCGGAACAACATGGTCTTTCTGCGCCCAAACATGGCTCCGGCCTCATCCACACAATCAGATTCTGCAGAAAACTGTTGCTCACATGTTGTGATGTTTTTACAAACCCGTGCTACAAGACAATGAATGTATCTGATTAATCTGCTCCACAGAGCTCCAGGAAAACACAGCTTCATGTTTACTCTGCACAGTATGTCTATTTGAGTGTGTTTCAGGATGTCTATATGTCTGTGCAGTCCCTGTGTGTCTTTACTGTCCATCAGGTGCATATGGCTGTAGTATATTCTCAAACTACATTATTGTCATTATTCAGTCCAAACACACCGAATGAGTAAGAAGAGAGGAAGTGTCAAAGGGACAGGAGGCTGTGCACTGGTCCAAGCTGGGATCAAACCACTGACCTCTGGGTTGGTGGGCAAACACTCATAACCACTGAGCCACTGCTGCCCAGGTATGTTTTTGTCATGTTCTGTGACAAATGTAGACTGTGTAGACTGGTGGAAACACCGGTAATGTTGATTTGAATGATTTGAACCCTGGATTTACAGGTTTGGCGTGTACTTTGAGCTGGTGACTGCAGACTGTCTGTTACACTAACGGCTACATGTGAGTTCATGTGATAACACACATTTAAAGACCTGAAAATTGTGGCAGTAGCTGTGGAAAATGGTCTTGTGGATTCTTTTTGCAGAGCAACACCTCACCTGGACCTGAGCCCGCTGAGGTCAGAGGTCAGTGTAACAGGATGCACTTTGACAGTCTTGCAGGACCTCTGCTGAGGAGGCAGGGCTAAGGAGATACTAGGTCTTTCTTTTTGTTTGCTGTCCTTCTCCTCGCTCTGAAGATATATCTATGATGAAATGACCATTGATGTTCTTCTCCGTGGCTGTAGTCCACTGTCTTTGCTCTGTAGACCACAACACATCCTGGAAACCTGTTTCTGGCCTGGACCCTGGTCTGGACCCTGGCCTGATTGGACCACTGCTCTGTTATGTAAGCTTACACTCACAAAAGCTTCGTCTTTCCAAGAAAACACCACCGCGATCTCGTCTTTTAGCTAGAAGAGCCCGGGTCAGGGGCCTGTACATCAGGCTTTAATGAGTTCTACTGATGAATGTAACAATCAGACAATTAATCACACTGAATGCATTGGCATGGAACAATTAAGGAACGCATGTAGTTTTCACAGAGAAGTAAGATCTAATTCAAATCATGCTTTGCTCTCACTGTCACTTTTCAGAGAATTAAAATCAATGCCTCGATCCACTGCACCTGATTATCAGGTGTTTTCTATAGTTCTAATCTATAACACCCATGGATCATTATGTTAGAATTTGGACATTTTAAATCACAATATACATCTATAACAAGTTAATTAAAAAAAAGTCTGCTGACTTGGAAAATGAAATGGAGAATGAAGCACAGAGCAGTGGTGTGCACTGGTGGCAGTGAAAATCGGCAAAATGGCATCTTGAAAATAAGAGATTAAAGTTGATTTAAACATGCATGACTCACTCCAAATACAGCTTCAGGTGAATAAATGGTGAAATATATAACATGGTTAAAAGCACTGAAAAGCTGAATTTGCAGAATAGGTCCGCTTTAAAACTGCAAAAACCAGAACTAGTCATTTATAAATGGTTTGTTACGTCCAGGCATATTCTTTACCTTATGCAGCTTAACTCTGTAGAAGGAGGTCAAAAGAGTCAGCAGAGATAAAAACAAACACCTTAAAGCCACAATATGTAACTTAGGCTTGCACCTCCACAGTCCTGACTCTTAATTGGCCTGGTGGAGGGCTCCTGCTTGTCTCCATGGTGAATGT